GCGTCTAAGCGGCCATCGGTGGCTTAACACATTCGACTTCACATCGGGGTTTTATGCGTGTGCGATTGCAGAGCAAGATCAACCATATATCTGTTTTTATATTGAAGGTCGAGGGTTCTTCAAATATCTCAGAATGCCTTTTGGCTTGACAGGAGCTCCCTCAACATTCGCACAGCTCACTGCAGACGCGATGGGTGACCTAGTGGGAATACTGTTCGAGTTGGTGGTGGACGATGGCGGTATGGCGGGCTACAACTTTGAGCAAATGCTTCAAGACACTGTGACCCTGTTAACACGCGTCCGCGAGAAGCATCTGTCGCTCTCTGCAGTGAAATCCGGGTTCTTCTTGTCAAGTGCAGTGTTTGCGGGAGGGAGGGTCAGCCAAAATGGGATTGCGCCGGACTTCAAAAAAGTTGACCGCGGTAGTCAATTGGGAGCGTCCGCAAAACATCCAGAATTTAGGCGCTTTCTTGGGGCTTACAGGCTACTTCCGCACACTCATCAAGGGCTATGCGGCAATTGCGCAACCACTGACTGACTTGTGCAAGCTGGTCCAAATGCCAAAGCATGGCAGTCGAAATGCGTACCAACACGCAATGCAGCAATTCAAGCTGGATAGTGTTTGGCAGCATCAACATACACAAGCATTTTTACGGTTGAAGGCAGCACTCACCAACGACCCTGTATTGAAGGGCCCGAAGTTCGATGGCACACCGTTCATCGTCACGACAGACGGATGCAAAACCGGCTTCGCAGGAATGCTTTCCCAGCGGTTTGAGTCAACAGATAACAAGGGCAGAACGGTCATGCGAGCCCACCCGGTGGCGTTTGCATCCAAGAGAACATCAGCCAGTGAAGAGAAGTACAAGCCGTTCTTGCTGGAGTTTGCTGCGCTCAAATTCAGCCTCGACAAGTTTGCAGATATCATATGGGGCTTCCCAGTGGAAATCGAAACGGATTGTCGTGGCTTTACGGGACAATTTACTCAACGAGAAGCTCAATGCTACCCATGCACGCTGGAGAGATGGGGTGTTAGCGTACCACATCATCGATGTGAGGCACCGACCAGGCCTGTTAAATCCGGGCGGCAGATGGCCTTAGTCGGCAATATGCAGACAAGACAGTAGGAGAAGGGGACGGTCATGAGTGGACAGTGGCAGAGGACTGGGAAATGCACACTGGCCTTCAGCATGACATATTTGGTGTCACAGCTGGAGTACTCACTGCAAGCCAGCAAGCGCTTCACGAGCGCTTTAGGGACGAAAAGTTGTTTGCACAGGTCATCGATGCAATACTGGAGGTCGCGGGGACAGTCTGCGGGAGAAAAAACGGGCACGACATCGAGCAAAGAACTACGTGATTGCGGACAACAAACTGTGGCGAATACCAGGCTACAAATCCATCAGGGCGGAGTCAAGGCAGGAATGCATCACTCAGAAAGAGGCCAAAGAAATGGCCTGGGACATTCATCGCAAAAACGGCCACTTTGGTAGGGACCTGATTAAAGTCCAGATGCTCAGCAAAATATCGAGCCCAAAGCTCGACCAGTCAATTATCGCTGCCATCAGCGAATGCGGAAAATGCAAAGGGTTTGGTCCGGCTCACTTACACTCCCTATTGGAGCCAATAACGCGAAGACACCCCTTCGAGTTAATGGTAACAGATACATTGTCAATGCCGAAGGGCAAGGGAGGTTTTACGAAAGTCTCACTGTTCATCGACGTGTACGCGCAGCGCGTGTGGGCAAGAAAGCTCAAGACAGCAGCATCGGGACGAACCACTCGGACGGCACTCGAACATCTGTTCACGGAATACCCAGCACCTGAAACGCTAATGTCTGACGGCGGGCCAGAGTTCGACAATGAGGAGGTACGGGAATTCTGCAACTCAAAAGGAACAGTGCTACATATCACCCCGGCATACTCGCCCTGGGTACTAATCAGTAAAACAGCATGTTGGTCTTTTTCGTCTTTCCGGTCTTTCGAAAGACCGGAAAGACGAAAAAGACCAAAGACATGATGTCTTTCGTAAGCAGGTTCACCTATCTTGCAGCAAGACTATTGTCTTGCGAAAGATCCACAAGTCTTATGAAAGAGCACTGAAAGATGAATATACTTCTCAGAAGACACCGTGAAATATACAAAGAGACATGATTATATATGTATCTACAAACAACACAATGTACTATTTCCCCCCGGTCTAGCCTCCGGCGCAAGGACCATTCCATCACCAGTCCATGGTCATACTTCCCCCGGCCCTATCCGCCGTAACTCCCCAGTAGTGGTCGCGGTCGCAGTATTCACATAGCCAGCTGTGAAGATATAAATCTAAGTATGAACGGAGAAGTATGATGACGGACCAGTCGGAAGCCCCAGCCGGGCTAGCCTATAGCCTGCCCCATCTCCCTCGCCTCGTTGTCCACTTGCAGTCGAGACTGTCGAGTCCAAAGTTCGGTTGGGAGGGGTATTGACAAGGTTGAAGACTTGACAGAGTCTTGAGAAACTTGTAGTGTCTTGCGCAGTTTGAGGCTGAAGCTGCTTGCGGCTGCTTGACGCGGCTGCTTGACGTGCCTGCGGCTGCTTGATGGGCTTGCGGCCGCTTGTGAGAGACATGGGGCTTGCGGGTTTGAGGCTTTGATGGGGGGGAGCAACGTTGGAAGCATGCAGGTGGGGGCGGCTGTGAGGAGGAGCGCTGGATGGCCAGTTGTGCGCTGGCTGGGAAGATAGAGGGAAGAGAAGAGAAAAGTGGCGCCATCGATCGCCCATCGATGGCGCCACTTTTCTCGTGATGACAGATGAGATGACGTGATTGATTGATGTGGAGCACTTGCCGCGGCTGCTCACTCCGACTCGAAGTACCAGCACAAGTCCAATTTGCAAATACTTTACTAGTACAACTTGATATCTTGTTGAAGACCAAGTATTGAAGGGCACCATACATGTCCAGTTTATTTCAAGGCTAATGTGTGACTCTTATCATTATTGAGTCATTTTTGAATCTGTACTCTAACCAGCCTGAGAGATAATTCTTATATAGTAGTAAATAGCACAGTTCCTTGAAGAGGAAAACATATGTAGCTACAGTTTTCTAATGAGATTATAGTACTTGACAAGCAAAATGATTGAAAGATAAAAGACTGCATTAAAGCCAAAAGACCAGTGGTGAAAGATCAAAGATCTGATTTGAAAGACCAAAGACTCTGGTGAAAGGCCAAAGTAGTGAAAGACCAGCCTGCTGTTTTACTGATGTAAATGGACTGGTAGAAGGAATGAATGCCAAACTTCTGGCAATTTTAAAACGAATGTGCGCGCCTGACCTCGGAGAGGACGCAGGATGGGAAGAACTCCCCGAGAAATGGCCTGAATACCTGGATGAGGCGGTGGAGATTCTGAACAATCGGATATTGCCACACTTGCGATACTCCCCAAATGAGCTTCTATTTGGACTGGTGGTTAATACTAACCGTACACCGACAGATATCGCTGGCCAACCGCCCAGCAACGAGGAGGTGGAGATCCAAATGGCCTACGTCGATCAGCAAAGGCTCGATGGATACAGCCAGATAGTCGAACATGCTGAACAGAGGAAAGCAGAATTCGACGCACGCGTCCAGGCGAGAGCACCAAGGGAAGTTGTCTTTCGTACGGGCCAACTGGTGCAAGTCTACCGGAGCGACCTCGATCACACAGTCAGCGTAAACAGGAAAATAGTGATAAAATGGTCTGCCCCCAGACGAGTCAAGAGCCGAGTCAGAAACTCCTACATCCTCGAAACCTTGGAGGGGTTGCCAATCTCAGGGCGATTTCACGCGAGACGGTTGCGGAGGTTCATACCGCGCACAGGAACAGCCCTCGCAGAAGTCCAAGCGGCAGTCGAAGAAGAAATGGGTCTTGCAGCTGAAGCGGGAGATGAAATAGAGGAGGGGGAGTTTGTGGACGAAGGGTTGATTTTGCGCAACGAGGACGTTGCGATTTGAAGGGGTGGGCAGATGGAGTGGGGCGAAGTGAGGAAGAAAGGAATAGATTAGATAATATCTGTACAATTAGCCCAAGGGCGCCTCGAGGCGGAACAACGCATCTTGCTACCACCATCTACCAGTCAGATTAGCCAAACCGCCCGTCTCCACTAGTAAGTACTTTCCAGAGCCCCGACTTACTCCACTGTCTTGCCAATGGGCACGAACCGCTTTCGGCAGGAACGCGCTGTCCCGATTCTCCGCGGCCCACCTCCAGTCGTGCGCGATCACGAACTCGACGCCGGGCATCTGGACGAGCTCGCGCGCGCGGGCGATGTCGAGGCGCGCGCGCGCGGGGTCGCGGTGCATGCAGTACGGCTAGGGCTCCAACTATTTTATTTCTGTTTGTGAAAATTTCAAATAAAATAGAAACACAAACACAAACAGTAATAAATGTTTGAAACTATTTATAAATGGTTCTGGTAATCAGACACAAATTAAGCACTTTGTTCTCAAGTTTTTGCACATACCATGTCTATCTTTATGATCTAGTGTATATTAACAAAGAGAAAACATAATCACTTAAGCTGTAATAGCCTTTTCAATCTAATTCAACCATCAAAGTGAAGTTCCTGTTGAGTATATTACCAAATCAGGAAGGATAAAATTTTGTTCAAATAGAATTTGAACTTGGGAGACATGAAATAGGATGTTCAAGACAGTGTCAAAGTGTTTTTAAAGCCCCGAAATACTTGAACTGCACTGTCAATATTGATTTCAGTCCACTATAAGTGGAAACCATTTGAACTATTTATTTATATTTAATTTCTGTTTGTCCACGCTCACAAATAAAATGGTCATTTAAATGTTTATTACCATTTGTAAATATTTACAAATGGAAAAGGTTGGAGCCCTAAGTACGGCGCCCCGGTCTCCGTCGTCTCGGCGATCTCCGCGTCCGCGTCCGTCAGCAGCCGCGTGTCGTGCGCGATGTCGCCGCCGAGGAAGAGCCAGCTGCCCGCCGGCGACGTGCGCACGAGGAGCGTCACGTGGCCCGCGCAGTGGCCCGGCGTGTCGATGACGTACGCGGCGCCGTCGCCGAAGACGTTGTGCGCCGCCGGGAACGGGCCGAGCGGCGCGGTGAGGTGCGCCGCGCGGTGAGGTGCGCCGCGCGGGTGAGGAAGAGGGTGCGCTCGCGCGGGACCGATGCCGAGAGGCTGAAGGCGGCGGGGTTCCCCGGGTAGCCGTCGGCCAACGTCGCCTCGCCGTCGCCCCCGATGAGGAAGGTCGCGGCGGAGAACGGGGTGTGGTCTCCGATGCTATGAGGGTGAGTACATCGCACTTGGAGCTCAATCACGCACTGGTCGAAATGCAGATGGCTGATGACCACCCTCTCAACTTTCGCCGGGTCGACGCCGCCGCGGACGCACGACTCCGCGGCGTCCTGCGGGACCGCACAGTGCATGCGCCCCGTGTGTGCGTCGAGGTAGTGTGCCTGGACCGCGGGCGGGTACGAGCCCAGGTCCTTGCGCAGGCCGAGGTCGAAGACCAGGTCGCGCGCCGACGCGGAGTGCCGCAGGTAGAACGCGAGCGACGGGCAGCGCTTGTACGCGTGCGCGGCGCCCTGCACGATGAAGTCCATGGGCAGCTGGATCGTGCCCGCCTCCAGCGCGGAGACGTGCATGTATGGCTGGTCGGGCGACGGGGCGGGGAGGGGGGGCATGCCAGTGGTGGTGGGAGCTGCGAAGCAGTCCCGGTCTAGGCTCGCCCGCGCTTCTTATATGCTCATGTGGACACCGAGGCATACCGGGCCGGTGGGAATCAGCGCGGAAGCACGGAAAAGTGGAATTCAGATGTCGCCATTTCATAACTGCCTTCCTAGGGAACAACTTTTATCACACAAGATCATCTTTTATTGTCTATCAAGTTGTGCTAGTACTAAGATCTAGACTTTTTAACCATATTGAGCATCAAAATAAGTGACAGCTACCCAGGGAAACTTCAGTTTTATGACATAATGAAAGTAAACACTGTGGTCAAAGATGCACCTGAAATTGATGTATGAATTTCAGGCAATATATGGGCAATATACTGTATGGGCGGTATACTGTATCAAAAGTTTTTCACGACTTTCAACTCTTTTTTTCAGACTTTTTATATACAACTTCAAGCAATGTGTTTCTGGCCAAAACAACTCCCAGAGGGATTAATACAACTTCTGATTTACGGCAAGATCTTTTATTTTCTCAAATACAATCTTAACTTTTCATATAGCAACTTTCTTCCAGAGCATCTACAACTTTGAATTTGTTGGTTGCAGGTTTCAATATGCAGAACAGCTTTAAAGTCATCAGTTGCAAATTTTGTTTGCCACAACTACACCTTTGATATTACATATTGCAACTAAGTTAACTTAGCGAAGTCTTATGTCAGTAGAGACTGTAAAATACTTTCTACAGACTAAGACATATTGAAGAGATATAACAGTCCACCTACTATACAGTTGACTGTGCTGTTGCTATACCAAGTGTGTTTGTTACTCTGAGCAGTATGACTGTGATGAAAACAACCAAACTCCACTTGTTGTAGAGAGAGATATGTATAATGTTGAGTAGGAAAAGTCACAAAACCCTAAAATCGTCTTCTCCTTGTGTGAGAACAGGCCCCTGTGAACAGAGCCTTGGCACAGATGTGTAAGGTTGTAGGGTAGATACAAGTTTCCTTGCGAAAACTTTGATTTTGCGTGCCCCAAAGCATACTATCGACGAAACTCTGCAATAGAGAAGCGCCAATATGATGCCCGGAGAGTTTATACTGGTTGGATTAGGAACTAACTGCCTTAAACTCTCAACCAGCAACCGAAACCCAATATCCAGCAACCGGAACTCTTGTATTCAGCAACCCAAACCCTCAACTAATAAATCCTTCGATGCGATGATACTATTTCGAAAGAGCTAGCAAGATAGATTGATGAGCTAGATCCCCAGATGCACCTAGTAGAGCGGGGCAATCCGTGAATCTCCCAAATACAAGACAGTGATATGAATGCTAAAACAAAATTAATAGAATCAGGTAAAATCATGAGTAAGAAAAGTAGTCTATGTGCATAATTGTATTGATATCGTTTCGCCATATGGTCCAGAGTTGAAATTACAGGTCCAGATGACTGGTATTGCATATAGTAGTGTCTTTTCCTTGTGAAGAATCCCTCGATTTTGAGCAGGATACGTTGATAGCTTGGCTTCCCAGCTTTTGGATGACACTTATAACTCATATCTTGTGCGTATGGCCTCAGCAGTAGTTATGCCAACTCTCCTGGCGCAAATCCAGTATTCAGCTGTCCAGTTCCTCGTCAGTGTTTTAGAGTCACCATTGATTGCAGGTCTAGGCCCTAATCAATTGAGTTGGTTTCTCCCGTTTAACTGTCACTTGGCACTCTCGATCCTCCAGCAAGATCTGAAACAGTGTGCACCAAACCGAATATGTCAGACTGCGGGTCAGGCCGTGCAAGGTCCTCTACTAAGAACGCGCACCTGGAACAGAACAGACAGATAGTCGGCGATCAGCGCCACTGGACCGGCCGTGGCCGCACCCCGAGGAAACGGGGCAACCACGGTCGCCGTCGCTCCTTCGCGCCAGTCGATAACGGGGTTATGCTTCTTGAGCCAGTGATGCCCAATGATCACATCGCTGTTCCCCGTGTCCGTGATGGTGAACGCGAGAAGTTCGGAGTGATCCTGAATGGTGACCCGCAGGTGAGTGACGTGTGTGATCATCCCGTCAGCATTGATTGTTCTATCGGCGTTGTACACCAGGATGGGATGTGGCAGAGCTTTGAGTTCTAATTGGGAGTCCTCTGCAAATTACTTGTGCATGAACTTGGAGGTGGCTCCGCTATCAAGGAGCTCGTCAACCGAGTACCCCCGGAGGTCGTTGACCCCTTGCAAGGTGATGGCTATTCGGGTGGCCGTGGTGCCCTCACTCTTTCAAAAAAGGGGGGGGATCTTGTAACTGTTGCAGGGCCTCGGCCACATTGGGGGTGTACCCAGTTCGTATGAACTCCTCTAGTTCGGGCCCGTTCTCAGCCCTTCGGGCCGGGTGGATCCACTGTTGTAGTTTGGAGCGGGCTTTTTCGGGTTGATCCCGAATTTGGGTGACGAGTCTCTCGCCACTGGCCACAGGCCAGTTCTTCCAAGCGGGCCGCGGGGGTGTCTCAGCTAGGTTTGTGTGGGCTTCTTTTGCGGGCGGAAGCGGTGGTTTGTAGGGGTTCTGGTTCGGAGTCGTTTTCTACGTCTGGTCCCACGTATCTCTGGATTGGCAACACGGAATATCAATTATGCGGGTTGTAACTAGAGACACTCGTGGTATACGTTGGTGAGGGCGCAGGCTTCACTCGCGACGATCGCCAAACTCCCTTTGTCCGCGTTATCCGTGACAAACTCCAAGAAGATGGCATGAATCTGGCTGGCCGATGCGGCCCAGTTGGGGCACATCTGACTGATATGTCCTTCTTATCCGCAATTGTACCAGCGGGTGTTGCGGGCCGTGGCGGGAGCTTGGGCTCGGTCAATCTCCATGGGTGCTGGCCCCGTAGTGGGCCCGGCGACTGTGGTTGCCCCGTTTCCTCAGGTGCGGCCACGGATAGAGTACGGTGAAATAGCTAGTTGTGTTCATGTCCTTGGTTTGGACGTGGGTCTCAATCTTCTGCTGTGCGATCTCCGTGTGGGCCTCCCCTTGGAAGGCCGCGATAAAGGCTTTTTTGAAGCCTTCATACGTAGTGTAAGCTTCGGCGGTGCAGAGCTTCATGGCTTGGGAAACATTCTCTTTCCACGTGACCGCGTTTCCTCCTTTGATGTAAGAGAGAGTGTACGAGATCTTTCGTACCTCGTCGTTGTAGACATTCGCGTTGGCCTCGAAGGCGAGCCAACAGTCTGCCAGGAAGGCGTCTACTTCGCTGGCTTTGCCTGTGAACTTGTAGCGGACCGGAGCGGATCTCCGCCGCCGCTCCAGTGTAGTGATCTGATAAGTGTCTCCTTGTGATATCTGAGCGCGTTGGTGCTGATCATTGCTCCAATGATGTCATTCTTTTTCAGTAGTATATAAACAATGTAGTAATTTAGTGTTCGGGGAGAATATCTTTTACGCCTGTTCTTGCGCCCTTGTGATCTGTGTGGCGGCACCTTAGTCAGCTTCCGTCACATATTTTGAACAGCTCGCTCATCTATCTACGCTCTGTCTGGCTACCTCGGTCGACACCACCATTGCTGCCGCTCTGCGCTGATAACCAACTCTCTCCACAACCCAACGATGACTTCCTCTGGCTACCCGACCCGTGCCGCGACACGCGCTGGGCGCTTTCCCGCGCCGAAGATCCCCCGCGACACCCCTTCGACCTCGCGCTCCTCCACTCCGACCTCCCGTCCCGTCAGTCCCACGCTGTCTTACAGCCGCGTGGTCGCTGGTGGTGATACCCCCGCTTTCGAGCGGCGCGCTTCTAGCGCACAGCTCTCTGAGCTGCCGTCTCTTCGAGACGCGGACTTCGGTCCGGCCTTCGGGCACTCCGGCTCTGCCGCACACGATGTCCCAGATTGGACTCGTGTTACTTCTCGTAATGCACGGTCGCACCGTTCGCGGTCGTCGTCGCCACGTAGCGTTCATCGTGTCGATAGCCATCGTACCAGTAGTAAAGCGGAATTTGAGTCCGAGTCTACCGTGAGACGCGCGATGCGCGGAATGAGTCGAGATGAGCTGCGAAGACTAGCTCGTCGACACCAGGCGATTGCACATGAAGCGCTGAGTGCCGCCTCGTTGCCGTCTGAGGACGAGCCGATCCCTGAGCCAGATGGTAGTCATCTGAATGACGAAGACTCAGATAGAAACACTGAAAAGCAGTCAGAGATTGAATATGGTGAAGCAGCAAGAAGCTCACCAGATGAATTGATTGACTTCCACGTGAGTCCCGCCATTCCGACTGGCGAAGGCCCTTCCCGCAACAAGGGGAAAGGTGCTGACCCCAGGAACTGGGGCGCTGTCGAGTCCTTACTGGACTTTGACGATGATGAGCTTGAAGCCCAGAAGGCTGCACTCTCGAACTATGAAGTTCAGCGCACGATTAAGCTCGAGCGAGTGTCCCCAGCTCGCAATAAGACCCCCGACTATCGGCGTTCGAAGCCGACAATGCCTCATGATGAAGATGAACCCGTGCGGCGTGCAGCGCCTGCTTCAGAACGGCCGTCGAAAGACCGCCGCCCCCGAGATCCAAAAATGCCTGGCCAGGCGCGATCTGAAGAGATAGCTCAGTTGGAAGAGCAACTGAGACGATTGAAGCAATCGCAGAGTGAACTGCACTTACCGCGACAACCGTTGAGCAGAGCGAAGCTCACGGTTGAGAAGAACCTTGACCACATGATTCGTGGTGCTGCCGCAGCGAAATCGCGCTCTCAAGCGAGAGAGGCGACACCCCGAATTGCTGCTGGTAGCTTCGTCCACAAAGCCATCCATGGCACGCCGCGTACTCGGCGCCGCCATAACCCTCCATCGTCCGACCCCTCTGATTCAAGCTCTTCGAGTTCTGCTGCTAATCGTCAGCACAATGCGTCTAGCGAATCGGACTCGGAAGCGGACGAGGGACGGACCTTGGTTTCCCATTCTCGTGTGCCGGCTGGCGCTAGCACTGGTTCCCACCCGCGGCACCGGATGCTCTTGAAGCCGATCCCACCTACG